CGGAGTGGGGGGGGGGCCGTGCCAAGTCAGTCGTTTTGTTTAAAAAAAAAAAAAAAAAAAAAGGAAGTAAAGAATGATTAAGAGGGTCACGGGCCACACCCTCAGCCTTTATAACCTCTCCAGTCTCCTTCATCTCTGTTTTTTGTACATGCACCTGCCCAGGTGAGACCTCAAAGAAAAATAACCCGGTGTGTCCACCTAATCTGGTAAGTGCTATCTTTGGACCTGAAAATCAAAGCCCAAATTAGGTGGAGAAAGTGGAGACTGACAGTAGATGGTAACAATGACTGCCTCGTGTGCATTTATCTGAATTGGCTAATAAATCAACTTATCCATCTTGACTGTCTGTTACGGAAGAGTTAATTTTTTTTCTAGGTCTGAATTATTTAGGTATTTTCTGTTTTCATTTGATTTCTGATCTTCTGCAGAAATCCTGCTTAAATGAAGGTGGGTAATGTAAAGTAATAACAGTGATAATAGTATTATGGCTATCATTTATCTAGCATTTGCTCTGTACTAGTATTGTGCTAAGTCTTTTATGTATGTCATCTCAAGCAAAATTTTCTGTGTGGTAGACAGTTTTGTTATCTGCGCTTTACAGATGTAGGAACTGAGACTTCCTTAAGTATCTGCCAGATTCACTCTGCTGGTTAGTAACAGGGTTGGGACACAAACCTACTGTAAACCAGCTCTAGAGTCTGCACTTGTTCTGGAACCCCTGTGTTAGAAGTCCTGTGAACAATGTAGACATTGATGCCAGGAGAGAGACAGGGTCACATATCATGTGAATGTGCCTTTGCCCCAGTATGGGGACCTCGGGGAAAGTTTCTGGAGTTTGTGAATTCTGAATTGAGACCCGAGCAGGTCAATTAACTTGGCCATGTGAACATTCCAGATTCTGCTATAGTGTGAATGAAGAAAAGAGGAAAAGAAAGAAGGGAGAAAAACAATGAAATAGAGAGTGAGGCGGTGTTGCTTAAGGCTGAAACTTGGATTTCTATTTCTCTTTTAGTCTCACTTCTCACATCCAACCCATAGGCAAGTCCTGTCAACTGTACCTCTAAAATAAACCCCGAATCTGTTCTGTGAATTGCCTAAGGGTAAACCATTAAAACCCTGCTGTCTAGGGGATCTTCCAGCTTTCACTCTTACCCACAACCCTTTCGTTCTCTTCATAGCAGCAGCATATTTATTTACATTTGCCACCCTCTGTGACCACTCTCTGGCCACTTCGCACTGCACAATGGGCTTTCAAGGTCCTGTGTGATCTGGGCCCTGCTGTCCTCTGTGACTCCCTCTGGTACCCATGGCCTTTGTCCTCCCTGCGTTCAGCCAAGCTGACTTCCACTTAGAACAATATCTAGCACACAGCCATGCAGAAAGTAACGGAATAAGAGGGGACAACTGAGTGAGATGCATGAGTGAGAACGTGTGGAAGGGAAATTATGTGAAGGCAGGAGGGGAATAGGAGGAAAGGGGAAGAGAACAAGGGAAGCAAATGAGAACAGGAGGCAGAATGCAGTGGGGAAAGCCAAGTATTTCCATCTGACTGGAACCTAGCCTGGAGGTGAGGAGTAGAGAGACAGGAGGCCAGAGTAACTGGTAAAAATGAATGCTGTAACTAAACACAACTAGCTTGGCTATTGATTTATTTAAAATCCCTGACAGCAGCATTGAGGTATGTAATTGCACACAGCCTGCGGTTTTTAAAATTTTTTTAACACTTCAGGGACAGATAAAAGAGCATCCACCAATAACTTGCTCAACAGGAAATCCATCTTCCTTTTTCATGCAATCATCATAAAACCTGGTTGAACAAGGGCTTGTGCATAACTGAACTTTTGGGGAACATGATTGGAAATTATTCAGAGCTCCAGGAGAGGAGATGTAAATTCCACACTGGACTCTGACCCCAAACGTGAAGAATCACTCTGAAGACAATATTCGTAAAGCATTTGGCATTTTTATTGTTATATGAAAATTGGCACATTCTAACTACATCAAGTTATTTTCTTCTATGACAGAATTAATACCATTTGAAAAAAAAATCCAAATGTAGTCTCAAATGCGTGTTTGATATTTTGATAAACTGAACATTATTTTTACATAAGACAGATAAGGAAAAAAGAAATGTTTTATGAATTTTTATATGCCAATGTTTTGTAATAGAGAAATGGAGTGGTTACCTTTATTTTCACTCATAGACACAAGAATTGTGCAGAAAAGCCAATATGTAAACAAAGTAGTATATAGTTTATGAATTATAACCAATAAACATTAAGAAGGAAGACAACATTTTCAGAATGATTAGTACAATGTACTGAAAAAAAGGGAAACAAAGCAATATGATATCAACTTAAAGAGAGAATTGTTAAAGATTAACTAATGTCTTTTTAAATGTTCTACAATCTTCAATCTAAATAGTTCATTATGGATAACCTAAAAATCTTTTCTTGATAATTATCTCTAGTATTTTTACCCAACTTAATACGACCATTCTTTGCAGTCTGAGATCTGAATGCTAGATATCATTCTGTCTATAGATATTTTCTGAAGTTCCTGTAACTTAATTTTCCAGGCATAATATTCAACATATTTCAAACACAAACACACACACACACAAACACACACACACACAAACACACACACACACATGAAGGACTTCTTCATGGGCATGTGTTCTGTGTAGAACACATGGGGCCTGTGCTTAGAAAGGGCTCTGGGTTTGATTTAATGCTCTGCAGTCACCGTCTTGAAATTCTTAATTATTTTTGGACAAGGGGACTCTCATTTTCACTTTGCATTGGACCCCACAAATTCTATAATTGGTCATGCATACTCACACATATTAAGCTACACATGGTGAACAGCAAGGCATGTCTTCAGGTGGTTTCAGTCTGGTGGAGAAAACAGATGTTAAACATGTAATTTTAAGGATAAAGAATATTATGTAAAGGAAAGTTTGAGATGTATTTCAAACCAGAGGATTAAGGCAGTCTAGACTAATTTTAAAAATTAGTGGAACTAGCCTCCAAAATAGGTTAATTTACATCCAATTTACATCCAATCTTTCCAATGGAAAGATAGCTATAAGTGAATAACATATAATTCTAAATCAGATATGTTTGATTTTCAAGCCTGAGCTTAAGGATGAATTTTAAGTTTTGTCAAATGACTACCTAGCATCTATTTACATGGTAATATTTTTTGTTGTTGCATCCCTGAATAAACCACAAATTTGCCATAATGCTAAATTCAAGTTGTTAATATTTTACTTAGAAGTTTGCAATTATATTCATAATTGGAGTGTTTGTTCTTCATATTATATTCGACTGAGCCAGGGCCATTTTTGCCCAATTTTCTTAGCTTCATAAAAGGATTTGGGCATTCTGTTGTTTTCTAGAAACTGTAATGTTTAAGCATTCATTATATGACTGATTTGAATTCAACAATGAAACATATTTAATTTCATGGGATGAAGCCCAGGGATAGGATGTGACTACCAGTTTCAAACATTTCAAGAGTGAAAATAAAAAGGTTTCTTCTGAAGGCTGAATCAAAATGGCCCCATCAAAATATCAGGAACTGCTGGAAATGTGTATGTCAGCATATCAATGATTGCTTGAGCCATGGAAATGAATGAAATCATCCAACCTGCAACTTCAAAGAGAGAAGAGAGAGACAGTCAGTGCAAGGAGGAACCTTGAGACATGGGCATTAAGGGTAGATGGAGAATTAGGTGCCAACAAACAAACTGACAAATAATAGGCCGTGAAGTAGGAGAGGCATTAGCATCCCAGAAAGCAAAGGGAGGTAGAATTTCAAAACAGATTAAGTAGAGTCAGTATTTCCAAATGTCACAAAGAGATTGAACAAAATGAAGTTTGAAAACTGTGCGCACTGAGTTTGTCATAGTAGAGATTGTCTATGGTCCTCATGACAACAGTTTGAGAAGAGCAGTGTAGTTAGATGCAATATTCCAGTTTCTGAGAC